TTTGAATATTACGTGGCATGTGAGTGAAAAGTCATACGTGGCATCTAATTAATGAGTACGTTACTACCTAGTGGGACTAGCCTAAGGATAGTCAATACCCATAAACTAAGAGATAGCTTTTGGTTAGGACTACTCTAAGATGATATGACTAGATGAGTAATAACTGGGTAAGAGTACGGCCATGGTGACTACTCTAGTTTTGACTAGAATTTTTTATCTTCCAAAATGAATTAAGGTCCTATTTGGTCGAGCTCGGCGTCCCTAACTTCTTCGTACATTGTAGCAAGAAGTTGTTATCCCCTTCTATTCAAAACAAACTAGGAGCCCATTATTTTTAACTAGCTTTTTTAGCTTCAGCTCCTTAGTGCAATATAGGCCCCATTTGAATCCTTCGGATTCTAAGAATCTGGATAGAAATAATTTCACAATCCTGATATCTCATCCAAACGACCTACTCCCTCCGTCCCTAAATAACTGTCATTGTTGGTGTGCGTGCCGCAAGTTTGACTCGATTTGTAGAAAATGCGTGCAACATTTGTATCTCCAAATAAATTTATTAAAAAACTAGATTCAAATATCTTTCTAATGATATTAATTATGTACCATAAATATTAATATTTTTAATATATATTCAGTCAAATTTGTTTCTGGAGAAGCGAAAAGGATAGATATTTAGGGACAGAGAGAGTAGGTTTTAGAGGAATTTCAACTCAGATTTTTAGAATATTGAAATCCAATAAAACTGTTGGGATTCTTTTTATCTAGATTTTTAGAATCCCTTAAAGATCGATTCAAATGGCACCACAGTAACAACCTAGAGCCGTTTGAAGCCATGCCAAATAATGTCGAGTTTGAACCCAAGACGACGGTTAATTTGGGACGAAGAGAGTACATAGCAGCTAATTTGGTTCCTATACATGCACCGATGGGCCTCAAGTACGCCCCGGCCCACCTGGAGGCTGTGAAGTGACGCATCCAGCCAATTTATGGCGCGTACGTATGGATTCTGAACTCGCATTGTCACTGACACCCTTTTAGCCGCACCATTGGATACATCACATGCAGTCACGCACACATCCATGCCGGCTGCCCAGTGGACCGGAAGAATCTCTCCGGACAACCGGTACACGATCGTCGGCCTGGTTTAGTTAGCGAAATTTTTTAGAAAATATTACGATAGCACTCTCATTGTTATTTGATAATTAGTGTTCAATCATAGTATAATTAGGATTAAAAGATTCGTCTCATGAATTTCGTCTAAACTATATAATTAGTTTTATTTTTTATTTATATTTAATGCTTCATGCATGCGTCTAAAAATTCGATGTAATGAGAAATCTTGAAAAATTTTACAAAATTTTAGGAACTATACAGCCGCCTACTCAAACTGTAACAAGGAAAAGAAAAGATGCTGACATGTAGGAGTACTCCTACTCCTATAGGAGTATATCGATATTCGCTGCTGCTGGCCCTGACACCACACACAATTACTACTCGTAGTACTTGGTTTTCTCTGTGTCTATTTATTTGTTACTCTGCGCTCTCTGGCAGACAGACGGAGTAGAGCAATAGTAGCAGCATTAGTGCCATTGCAATTTTCGTACTTTCTGAGATGTCATTACTCCTTCACCTTTTTTTGAAACTTATCGTTACAGTGCCTGTTTAGTTCCTAAAATTTTACAAAATTTTTCAAGATTTTCCATCATATCGAATCTTTGGACGTATGTATGAAGCATTAAATATAAATAAAAAATAAAACTAATTACACAGTTTAGACAAAATTCACAAGACGAATCTTTTAAGCCTAATTAGACTATGATTGGACACTAATTGCCAAATAACAATGAAAGTGCTACAGTACCATTTCCCAAAAAATTTCGCCAACTAAACAAGGCCATAATCGTCTCCATACCTACTGCATGTTCGCTTGGTCGTAAACGATCGTAAATTTCCAGTCAGAACAGTATTTTTCTCTCACACCAAACCAGCCAGCAGTAATAATCCACGATCGTATACGATCGTTTCAGCCCCAGCCGAACAGGCTACTAATTCATGCCATTTTCTTCGCCTGAAACGGCACTGAACCCACTTTAAGATCGTTGTATTTTCGTATAGCCCAAAATACCCCTAAGACTGCCCTCTCTCTACTCAATGACATGTGGGCCCACACAATCATCCCCTTGCTCCTCGCATCCCCTCCGACGTGTGTGATGTCTCGAAGCGGCCAGAGTGGAGCTCGCGTTGCACTCCCTAACACGCTCGCCAACGAGGGCAGGGATGGCTCAGCCGTATCCTAGAGCTTGATCTACGCAGGTGAAGGCCGAGCCGTGGTGGCTCTGGGTGCTCGCGTGGTCGACGGCGAGGCATGGACTGCGTAAGGACTGTGGAGCATGGACTGCACAAGGACAACAAGGTGTAGGAGGCAGTGGCCGCGGAGTCGACGGTGGCGGCCAAGGCCCCTGCATCCGCTCATGAAGCCAGATCGAACAACTGAGCCCTGTGAATTTGGGAGATCGGAGGGGATATGCTTCCACGTGTCGGAGTTGCTGTCACCACCGCCAGTGGCCTTCCCCAGGACCCTCGGTTGCACGGTAGCACGCAGATGGCCGCTTGGGCGTGCTCCACGCTGTCGTGCACGCAGGTTGCATGGAGTCGAGCGGCTCGCCCGGGCATGGTGTGCTGCTCCGAAGAGACAGGTGGTGGACCACACCCATGCCAGCGACCGTGAGGCCGAGATCCACCAAGGCGCCCTCGTGCGCTACGACGCCTCGGCGGAGGGGGGGGGTGGTGACGGTGCCTGTTCTGTGCGGCCGAAGGAATTGTGGGAATGTGAGAGGAAGGGGATGACTGGGTGGTTCCGTATGCCATTGAGTAGAGAGAGGGTAGTCAAAAGGGTATTTTGGGCTATACGAAAATACAACGATCTGCAAGTGGGTTTAGTGCCGTTTCAGGCGTAGAAAATGGCATGAATCAGGTAGCAAGACAATTATAATGGCAAGTTTCCAAATAGGTGAATAGTAGTGGCATATCTCAGAAGTACGAAATTACAATGGCATGGATCCAAATAACCCTAGTATTTAAACCATGAAAAACTCATCGTTACGATAGTGCATAGAGAGATATTATGGATTGCATCTTGTTGTATTTGTTACCGGTGTGCGGGCGTTCAACGTCCCGCACGTCCGCACGCCCAGCTCCTCTCCCTCACATGCATGCACATGTGCCTCTCTCTCTCCCCAGTGGTCGCGCCCGCGCCCCACCGCGCCATGGATGATGCGGCTTCGGATGGATCCGGCGTCGGCGGCCATCGATGACGTGGCTTCGGGCGGATCCGGCGTCGGCGGTGCCGGCAAGGTACGTCCTCCTCCTCCTCTTCCAGAATCTGCGAGTTAGGGTTCTTGTGAGCTTCTCTCTCTGTCTCTCTCTTCCTCATCTTCCCCAATTCCGAGGAAGGCCGGCCAGACGGTGGGGACGGCTGGATGGCGGTTTAGGGGCCCTGGCGACGGTGGAGGCGGCTGAGCCAGTTCGGGGAGGTCCATGGCCATGGCGGAGCTCCGGCGAAACCCTAAGGTGCCCGTGACAACGGGGAGGAGCAGCGGCAAGGGTGAGGGTGAGGAGTAGAGCGTGGCTGCCAGCGAGGAGGAAGAAAGGGGAGGAGGGCGCAGGAAGAAGAGCACACAAGGTTGAAGACGACCGTGCATCAGTCTAATACATGCACGGCTGTGTGTTAGCCACGTTCACTTATATGCTGTCCGTGACCAAAACAAACTGAAACCAACAATCAAACCAACAATCTTGTTCGCTTCTTTTATGATCCGTACTTTTCAGCTTGTTTTTTCAGCTAGTACATTATTTTTCTCTCACAACAAAATCAGCCGGAACAGTGTTTCGGTTTGTTTTTTCAGCGAAGCGAATGGGGCCATTGTTTATGTCCACCACCTCCCTTTCTACTAAAAGGAAGAAGGTGGTAGTACCTGTTTATTTTGAGTTTTTAACTGCAGCTTCTCTCTAAAAGACTTTCCAGAAAAGTTATACCAAATTGGATCTAAGAAAGATAGGGGACAGTGGAGAGTGGAGACTGGAGAGGAACATGCTCTGCATCGTTCGTTCGTTCATGGATGGATCGCACGCTCTAGCAGCACAGTTTTTACCATGCCCGTATTCGTGTGCTGTTCACGTAGAATGTTAGGTTGTGCCTGCCATTGCTATGCCATGGCGCCGCAGAAAGGTGAGCAGAAAGATGCTGATTATGAAACGTTTTGCTATGTAAAATCTGAAGCTTGTAGAGGGAAACAACCCCCAGAAAGACCACTGTACCCTGCTCCTGCTGGAGGATAAAACTGGAAGCATCATGTATCTATCCTTGCCTTGCCTCCCCCTTTATCGATCAGTGTGGAGGGTAGTAAACTGATTGATCACCATTCACTTGTGCTGTGCAGCTGTGCTTCGTTCTTCATTCATGTGGATGGAGGAGGGAAAGAAAGCTGAACTGAGGGACTGTTTAGTTCCTAAAATTTTTTGCGTGTAGTACCCATCGCATCGAATCTTGCGGCACATGCATGGATTACTAAATGTAGGCGAAAAAAAAACTAATTGTACAGTTGGGTGAGAAATCGCGAGACGAAACTTTCGAATCTAATTAGTCCATAATTAGATACTAATTGACAAATACAAACGAAAGTGCTACAATAGCCCAAAGCCAAAAAAATTTTACATCTAAACGCGCCCTGAACTGAACCTTTGGGAGGAGAGGAGAAGATGACACACCCATGTCTACAGTGTGACGGCGCCCGGCCGTTAGGAACAGAAACCTTGGCATTGCCGTGCGCGCTCGGTGCTCTGCTCGGCCTCCCCCCTGTGTGCTCGTGGGAAAGCATGGAACTTTTTGCTGGCGGATACAGTGCAGAGACTGGAGAGGAGCAGGTATCCGCCAGTAGCCAGCAGCCAGCAGCCAGCAGCTAGGAATTCGAGGAGGAGGACGGCCGGGAGACAAGGGTCACATGGCGTCTGCCTGCCCCTGCCTGATTCAGTGCTGCTGCCTCTGCTCACCGGGGCCCCCGCTCATGCAGCACAACATCGGTGATCGGTCTCTCACCGTAGACCCTACTACTACTATTATTTAGTATAACGACATCTCTAAGTGTATTCTCTACTGGAGTATAATACGTACTCCTACCTGAGCAGTACTGGGAGTATCTCAGTATGTACCTCACTCACATTCATGCTCAGTCAGGCTCGCTCCACAACACCCCTCTCCTGCTCAGTCAGGCTCGCTCCACAACACTCCTCTCCCCGCCCTGCTCGTTTGAGTTTGTTTGGTTGATAAGCTAGGGGTGGAAATACTGTTGACTAATTTGATAAGAAAAAAATACTATTTATTAACTGAAAAGTATGGCTTATAAGCTAACCAAGCCTAGGGCGCCCGTTCTCTCCTGTTGACAAGGCCACTCTATTTAAATTCCCTCCTGCCTCTTTCGCTGCCCCGTCTTTTGCACAAGCACCAACCAACCATTATTCACAAGTTGCCGCTGAAGAAGCAGAGCTAGCAAAGGCTTCCTTCCAAAGGCAGGCGATCCATCTCTCGCTCTCTCAAGCAAATAAAAGCTTGGTAAGCACCATCCATGTGCTTAGCTTTGTTGTAGATAGAGTTGAGTTGAGTTGGAGGCGAAAGCGAGTCTCTTCTTCCTCCTGTCTTTCTTTCTTTCTTTCTTCCTCCTTTGGACCACACCGCAGGCAGGCGCTTCATGAGCCTTGCTCATGGCTCTCTAACGACAAGGATCTGTTTCTTCTCTCTCTGTATTCATTCTTCTTTGAGTGTGAGTGTGTGTGAAGGGACAGTATTTTATTGCAAAGCCTTAAGTCCTCTTCTTCCTCTCTCTCTCTCTCTCTCTCACACACACACACGCACACACACACGCACACTGAATGAGAGCTGTCTTCTCAGAGACGCATGGGAAATGTTTCCTGGATGCTGCTGTTCTTGTTCTTGTTCCTCTCTCCCTGATTTGAGTGTTTCCAAACCAGATATGAAGCCTCTTGTTGTGCGTTTGCTGTTTGCTGGCTGCAGCATCTGAGGTGGCCAACTCAAAGATGAGCAAGGAGGACGTGCTCAAGGTGCAGGTAAGAGTGAGTTTGCTCTGCTTTGCTTCTTGCCGACTCAACTACCACACGCACACAGGAACACATCTTCCATGTTCATGTCGTTTCTTGTGTCTGCTGTGATTTTCATCACACACACTGTTTGCGTGTCATGTCTCCTGCTGTTCAGTTCTCTGAACATTCTGTTTTCCTTCTGTTGGTTGGTTGGTTCCCAGACGTGCGTGCTGAAAGTGAATATTCACTGCGATGGGTGCGAGAAGAAGGTCAAGAAGATCCTCCACAAGATTGATGGTAACGAAGAAACATTTTTCTAAGCCAAATTGCTTCATTTCTTTTGTTTCCTGTTCTGTTCCCTTGTGCAGTTGTGCTCGCTGCTCGCCAGTGTCTGTTCAGCTTTGCTGCATGCTTTGTTCTTGTTCTATTCTAAAAAAAAAAGCTCATTTTTTCCCTAGTATCTCTTAAGTAGAGTAAGAGAAATGAAAAGTGCTGGGCTGATCTGCAGGTGTGTACCAGAGCAGCATAGATGCGGAGCAGGGGAAGGTGACGGTATCCGGCCTCATGGATCCGGCCACCGTCATCAAGAAGCTAAACAAGGCCGGCAAGCCGGCGCAGCTGTGGGGCGCCAAGCCTGGCGTGGTGAGCCAGCTCCAGAAGCTGCAGCTTGGCGGCGGCGGCGGTGGCGGTGGCGGTGGCAAGGACAAGCAGCCCAAGGACGGCGGCGGCGGCGGTGGCAAGGGCCAGCACCAGCAGCCCAAGGGTGGCGGTGGCGGCGGCGGCAAGGGCCAGCAGCCCAAGGGTGGTGGCGGTGGCGCGGGCGGGAAAGACGCGAAGATGATGCTGCCGCAGCCGACGCCACAGCAGATGCAGCAGCTGATGCAGATGAAGGGCATGAAGCTGCCTCCCGAGTTCCTCATGGGCATGGGCGGCGGCAAGATGCCGCCGTTCCCGGCGGCCGCGCCCGCGCCTCCGCCGCCGGCGGCGGCCAAGGACAACAACGCCGTCAAGTTCAGCTACCCCGAGGAGGACGAGTTCGGGGACGACGGCAGCGAGTTCGACGACGAGTTCGATGACTTCGACGACGAGTACGATTTCGAGGACGACGGCTTCGACGACGACGACCTGTACGGCGACCCCAAGATGACGATGAAGCCCGTGGCCATGCCGCCGGCCGCCGCCGGGGGCGACAAGAAGGGTGGCAAGAAGGGCGGCGGCGGTGGGAACGAGATCCCCGTGCAGATGAAGGGCAACGCGCACAACGGCGGCGGCGGCAAGAAGGACTCGGGCGGGAAGCAGAACCAGGGAGGCGGGAAGAACGGTGGCGGCTCGCAGGCGCTGCAGAACGGCAAGGGTGGCGGGAACGGGAACCAGCAGGGTCAGCAGGGCAAGCAGGAAGGCGGCGGTGGGCAGCCTGCCGGTGCCGGCGCCCCGATGATGGGCGGCATGGCAATGCCACCGCCGCCGCAGCATCAGCAGCAGCAGCAACCGGGCCCCGGCATGATGATGAGGCCGTCGAACATGATGGGCGGCGTCGGTTTCCCCGGTGGCATGGGGCAGGCCATGGGCCAGATGGGCGGCACGCCGATGGGCCACCACCACCCGCACCACCAGCACATGGGTGGGGGTGGCAATGGCATGCAGATGATGCAGCCTAGCGGTGGCGGTGCCGTCCATGGCATGCCAGCCGGCGGCGGCATGCCTGGAGCTGCTGGGTTCTACCAAGCCGGGGGCGGTGGCATGCCGTCCGGGCCGCCGGAGATGATGCAGGCGACCGGGAACCCCATGGCCATGGCGCAGGCGCAGCAGCAGCAGCAGCAGTACATGGCGATGATGCAGCAACAGCAGCAGATGAATGGTCACGGCGGCGGCCCCGGCGGGTACCCGGCGATGGGTTATGGGTACGGGTACGGGCGGCCGGCGATGCAGTACCCGCCGCCGCCGCCGTACTACTACCACTCGATGCCGCAGCGGCACCCGCACGACAACATGTTCAGCGACGAGAACCCCAACAGCTGCACGGTGATGTGATCATGTCTGCGGCCTGCAAGCTTTTTCTCCTGCCTGCCATTCTTCCGGAGGATGGAGAGAGCCACAGAGGTGAGGTCAAAAGGTGATCGATCATGGGTCAGCGTCACCATGGTTGAAACAAGGGCAGTCCCTGGACTGGATCTCAGTATGCACGAGACATGACATGAGAAGCTAGTAGCAGCAGTAGCTAGAAAGGGCCCCCTCCTTTTTTTTTTCTTTTTCACTCCACTACTACTAGTATTTTTTTATCTTTTCTTTCTTTGGACAAAGTGAAGAAAAAAAAGCAACTTCCTTGAAGGCGAAGGTAGGCATATTAGTAATTATCAATAGTGGTGGTCATAAGACATGATGTGGTGGTTGTTCATGGGTTTTTATAGTAGTGGCTCAAGAAGGTGGCTCTCATGGCTTCCCTTCTTGCTCCACAATGTGATATGGTATGGAGGTGGCATGGTAGAAAAACACGGTTAATCTCAATCTCAATGTGCTTTCGAGTGCCGTGTCTGTCCCTAGTGGAATGGAATGTTAACTCTGGTGTCCTCGTCTTTTATGGCTTCCTGCATGCTGATTGTCTAAAACTTAAGTCATCTAAATTTGTCTAAAACTTTCGTCATCAAAATTTTAGTTAGATGAAGACTTCACGCGAGACAAACTAGTTAACTAATTTAGAACTCAAACAGATGAGCTAAAAGGACTAATTGTTAGTGAAGCCACGAACTCCAACTAGTGGTAAATAGGAAACGGGGACTGAACTAAAAAGTGCTAAAGTTTGACGAAAAAGTCACTCCTGCCGAACTATATCTTATCTCATTGCAGAGTGCGTGAGAAGATAGTGGAGAGTTGAGAGAAGAGTGAGAAATGAGAGCTAAGACTAATAATACAACATCCTTACCATCTATTCTAACTCAACTAATTTATTACTCCACTCATATTTTACTTAACTTATTTATGGACTACTTGTTTCTCTTGTAAAAATTCTTGGTTCTCGTGTATAAGCGTTGTAAACTTACAGCTCGCTTCTCTTTTATCTCTCGCTTCTCTTTTCTATCCTCCACTTTAGGATATGTCCGCTAACAACCCATTGCTATACTTGCTCGGAGTGGCTCGCTTGAGCGCGGGGTGGCTGAGTGGCTCTTGAGGGAAGATGGCTCGCTTCTCTTTTCTCTAATCCACCTTAGGATATAGTCTACCAACAAACCATTAATATACTTGCTTGGAGTGCCTCGTCTGAAAGCAAGATGGCTCACTATTTTCTCTCCTCCACCTTAGGATATAGTCCACCAACAACCTACTATGCTTGCTTAGAGTAGCTCGCTTGAAGGCAGGACCATTACTATACTTTCTTGGAGTGGCTCGCTTGAAAGCTTAGAGTGGCTCGCTTGAGGGCAGGACCATTATTATACTTTCTTGGATGAGTGGCTCGTTTGAAAGCAGGATGTCTCGCTACTGTGTTTCTCTCCTCCACCTCGCTTGAGGGCAGGACCATTACTATACTTTCTTGGAGTGGCTCGTTTGAAAGCAAGATGGCTCGCTACTCTTTTCTCTCCATCTTAGGATATAGTCCAACAACAACCTATTATTATGCTTGCTTAGAGTGGCTCACTTGAGGGCAGGACCATTACTATACTTTTTTGGAGTGGCTTGTTTGAAAGCAGGATGGCTCGCTACTCTTTTTCTCTCCTCCACCTTAGGATATAGTCCACCAATTACTATGCTTGCTTAGAGTGGCTCGCTTGAGGGCAGGACCATTACTATATTTTTTTGGAGTGGCTCGCTTGAAAGCTTAGAGTGGCTCGCTTGAGGGCAGGAGGCAGGACCATTACTATACTTTCTTGGAGTGGCTTGCTTGAAAGCTTAAAGTGGCTCGCTTGAGGGCAGGAACGTTACTATACTTTCTTGGAGTGGCGCTTGAAAGCAGGATGGCTCTCTACTCTTTTCTCTCCTCCACCTTTGGATGTAGTCCATCAACCTATTACTATGCTTGCTTAGAGTGGCTCGCTTGAGGGCAGGACCGTGGGTCGCTTGAGGGCAGGACCATTACTATACTTTCTTGGAGTGGCTTGTTTGAAAGTAGGATGGGACCATTACTATACTTTCTTGGAGTGGCTTGTTTGAAACAGGATGGCTCGCTACTCTTTTTCTCTCCTCTACCCTAAGATATAGTCCAACAATTACTATACTTGCTTAGAGTGGCTCGCTTGAGGACAGGGCCATTACTATACTTATCAGGGTGGCTCGTTTTGAAATCAGGATGGCTCTACTCTTTTCTCTCCTCCACCTACTATGCGTGCTTAGAGTGGCTCACTTGAGGGCACGATTAGCTGTGATCAATTGTTCATGCAAACATTTCTGGTAACAAATTGTTCATGCAAACATGCCTAGTAACAAACATAATCACTGCGTCTCCTCCTTTGTGCAAGGCGATTGATTGCTTGAGCAGAAAAAAATGTGGCGAAAAGAACGAACGATTTTTTTAAAAAAAAAACAGGAACGAACAATGGTGGCGATGATGATAATTGCGGCCGCAATGGAGGGGGGAGCAATCATGATGATGGATGGATGGTTATGGTGGTGTGGAGCCGGAGGAGCAGGTGGGTCCACGTGATTGAAGTGTGGGTGCTGCAGTGGCAAGCGCAGCCGGCTGCCGCAGTTTGATTTGGCCGTGCACTGTGCTAGTAGTATGCGGGTAGTATGGGCCATGGCTGGCCTTGCTTTTCCCTGCCTGCGTCCATGCACCTGCACTAGAGCGCCACCTCATCAGTCGTCAGTACTGAATGAATTTCATAGTAATACTAAGCCCTTGTTTAGTCGGAGAAATTTGGATTGATAATTGACGTTTTATTTGGTAAAAGTCCTAATGGACTAAAGGCTCAAAATGTTACTGATATTAAAATCTGCAATTTCCCACCCCGGTGCCGGTAAAAAATATTTATTGAAGTTACTAAACCAGGCGTAATTTCACATTGATAATTGACGGGAAGTCCTAACTACCCCCGGTAAAAAACTTTTTTATTGTACAAAAAGAGCACAAACAAACCCACACTCACATGCACAGCACACCCCTGACCTACAGAGTGCAGATAGACATCATGTTGGTTTTGTCGTAAACGATCGTGGATTATAAACTAAAATAATATTTTTCTCTCACACTAAACCAGTAAGCAATAATAATCCATGATCGTTTCAGCTGAAATGAACAGGCCGAGAGTCTCGACTTGCGCAGTCCCTTCTCTTATAATCCGTCTTTTTCAGCTTATTTTTTTAGTCGAAACAGTATTTTTATCTCACAACAAATCAGCCAGAACAATGTTTCAGCTTGTTTTTTCAGCGAAACGAACGGGGCCTTAGTGACAGGTTAAACATGACTTTTAGCAGGATGTATTGGAAAAATAGTCCATTTTAAGATAAAACCAGAGCATAAATCATAATGATTTAAATACTAGCATATGCAGGCCTAGCATACTTTTTAGATTAAACAACATGACATGATAAACAGTAACATGGTCAAAACACATCAAAAACCGTTTATAGTAATTGATTGGATCAAGTTACGTGTACCTTTTCGGATCCGACTATTGACGAAACCGGTGATGGTGACGGAAAATAGTCGACTAGCGGTGGAGGAATGTTGCCGTTGATGATGCGACGAACTAGCGGTGGAGAAATGCTGCCGTTGATGATGTCACGAATCTGCTGGCGGCGAGGAATGCTGCCGTTGATGATGTCACGAATCTGCTGGCGGCGAGGAATGTTGCTGTTGATGATGTGACGAACTAGCGGTGGAGAAATGCTCTTGTGTAACACCCGGTTCTAAGAACAAAATTAGATACGCACCATATGTGAGTCTAGAAAGTTAAATCTCATATATAGCTATAAATAAAAAATAATATCAAAAGACAATGCTTAATATAACGTACTTAGCATAAAAGATATAACCTTAAACAGCAAACAGCGGCAAGACAACTCCGATCTTTAGGTGAAGACTCCAACTCCATAGGGACAACTGACTGGTTGATTACAAAGCCTAATTCCTCCAAACTCTAGCAATCTGGTAACCATTTGGGATTTTTATCCAAATATTTAAAAAGTAAAGCAAGCGTAAGTACATGTCGTCCTCAACAAATATAACATGGAGTTCATGAGGTTCAAAAGGTTGACACTGGTTTACTGCGGTTAGCTTTTAATGAGTCATGATTTTAGTAATTGAGTAGCAACAAGTTTATTCACAAGCCCACATAAACACATGATTAGATAAACATGACTAATGAATAGCATAAACAATAATCATTAGTGAACATATGTATCATCAATATAATTAATGTTCATCATCTATTCCGTAAGGGTTTCAAGGCCTCTCATGACCGTGAGCACGACTGTTATAACAGTTTTATACTCTACAGAGGTTGTACACTTTCACTGTGAGTCATGATTTACCCTTTTCGTCCGAGGTGATCAGCCTCTTAACCCACTACCTAGGAAGGTCGGCAGGGTTCACTATGAAGCCTTTCAATGGTTCGTCTAACAAGTTAGAGCCGCTAGGTTTTCCTATCAATAAACATGAACTCCCTTCCAAGGAGTGATTGACAAAAGGTCAAGAAACCAAAATGCACTCAACCTGGCAGGCAAAGGTCATACCTGTCGGAGCCCCTCTTGCGCCATAAAGGTAACCACTAACAAGTTAGAAAAGGTCCTCGTACTTGACTAAAGCCAGAGCCATGTGACCTGTAACACCTCTGGTATTACGAGCTCGCCAAGCATCGAGATTATGGTCTGAGAGATAGATCTAATAATATAGTAAGTTCGTTTACTTAGCGTAAAGAGGTGGTGATGAAAACTCCTAACAAAAAGAATAGAATGAGTTTTGTTAATTGTTGGCATGAAAACAATTTCTATGAACAACGACCAATTATAACTGGAGTATAGTGTGGAAATAAAGATTTGAGGGCAAGTTACGTAGCTGGGCATGCAATTTTAAATCTTGGAGAATAATAATGTCAGCTAGT